CCAGACTATTTTAGTCAGACTTTTAAATAAAGAGTCATACCTTGATTTCCATTCTTGGACTGATACTTTTTCCATTTCAATTTTCTGCTCTCTCTTTCTCTCTCTCCCTAATCTTTTTTGAGATTGCAATTAGTTTCTTTTTCTCAAGGGATGACTGGTTTGTAGATTTGTTAGCTGTTTTAATTACTTGGTTAGGTGTTCCATGTAGGATTTTATTTTGCTTCTTGGATTACTGCATCATAATTTCGGATTGCTACTGCCTTTCTTGCACCCCCTGGGGTTGCTGGCTTTGTCTTTGGTCCATCCATCACCTCAGGATGGTTATTCTTAGTTTTTAGTGCTGAAGTTATTAAATATGCACCGTCTCTGTTCCTGTGCTCACTTTTTTTCCTTTGCGTGTGCTAGATTTTGTTATTGTCCTGTAACCACATCAGAAACAAATAGGCAAACCTACAAAAAGCAGTTGCCCCTGCTTCTGATGCAGAGTTCTCAGTGGGGGCTCTCAGGAGAAGGCAGGGGTGACTTTCTCAGAGCATCCACTTTTGCCATAATACAAAAATTCACTTGTTTGTCGAAGCAATGCTCACGGTACTACCTAGTAGAACCAATGCAGGTGCCCACTGATGAACGGATACAGAAAATGTGGCATACATTCACGGTAGAATATTGTTTAACCACAAAAAGCCAACGTCCTGTTATTTGCAGCAGAATGGACGGAGTGGAGGACATAGGAGCGGTGAGGCAAGCCTGGCCGGCGCACAAAGACAAGCAGTCCACTCCCTGGTTTATAAGTGGGAGCTAAAGGTCGGTCCTTAAGACAGAGTAAAGCAGTGGTTAACGGGGCCTGAGACCTGTGTAGAAGGGAGGCTGGGAGAGGAGGCGTAGTGGGAACTGGATGAAGTTGGACTGTGCGGCCATAGAAGGAACTTCTACAGTGCAGTGGGGTACCCTGTGGATAACCCTTAATTGAATATGTTGACACAGTTGGTAAAATATTTTAATAGCCCCAACCCAACAAAAAAACTGAGGTAATGCATATGTGCTTCCCTGCTGGTCATTACAGATTGTATACATGCATTGAAATGCCATGCTGGACCCCATAATTATCTATAATTGTTTATGTCAACTAAGAATAAAGAAGCCTTTTCTTTTTTTCTTTTTTCTTTTTTTGAGTCGGGGTCTCTCTGTATAGCCCTAGATGTCCTGGAACTCACTATATAGACCAGGCTGGCCTTGAACTCAGAGTGTTGGAATTAAAGTATGCATGACTATGCTACTAAAGTCTTCAATGTTTAAAACAAAATGTCCCTTTTATACATATCCTAATAAATCCCTCAGAAAATTCCATCAACATTTCTAAACTTTGGCAGACATGAACTGTAAACCTGAGTGTTGCAGAATACTCATTTTGTACACTGTGAACATGTGTCACTTTGATTGGTTATTAAAAAGCTGAACTGCCAATAGCTAGGCAAGATTTCCAGTCATAGAGGATGCTGGGAAGAAGGGTGGAGTTGCCAGACAGAGAGGAAGCAGGATGGGCAGTACAGAGTAAGGAACCAAGCAGTGTAAAAGAGCATAGATTAAAAGATACTGGTTCATTTAAGTTGTAAGAGCTAGTCAGGAAAAAGCCTAAGCTAAGGCCAAGCTTCCATAATTAATAGTAAGTCTCCATGTCACTACTGGGGAGCTAAGAGTCCCTGTGAAAAAGTTGGATTACACCTGAGTTCTCCTTGGGGAACCAGAAATGTCTTCAGCCTTCAGTATACCTTATTGAAGCTGTCACCTGAGTCCCACCAGTGACCACATGACCAACCTGTGGGGCCAGGAAAGCTTTCCAGGTGACCCCACCAGCAGCAACTCTTGGCAATCTTGATTTGGGAGCAAAAGTTTCTAATTGAATCAGTTCTGCTGGTTGGACCCATGGAATGCCCATGGTTGGCATTAGTGGAGAGTAAAGGGCTGGGAAGGACAGCCATGACTCATCTTCTAAGAGTGCAAGAAGACCACAGAGGACATGCAGCCAAGCACCAGTGTCCCTCAGTGTGGCTGCTATGGCTCTGCCTTATTGAACTTCTTTCATTGAAGGTGACAAATTAGCAAGAACAATGGTTAAAAAAATTATTTTTGAGAAGGCACTTTAAAAAAAATTCTTCTCTCATTCTTCCTAATTTCCTTTACTTTTGCAAAACATTGCTATGTGTTCTGTGTTTTGTGTGTGTGTGCATATGTGTGCTAAGATGTGTGTGTGTGTGTGTGTGTGTGTGTGTGTGTGTGTGTGTGTGTGTGTGTGTGTGTGGACGAGAACTTGGTAAAGATTTTGTTCTGTTCTCCTCTTCCACCATGTGAGACACAGGTGTCGAACTCAGGTCATCAGGACCTGCAAGCCCCTTAACCCACTGAGTCATCTCCTTGGCCCTATTTACCCTTTCTTTAGCAGTTCTTAGAGCCTGGGACCTATTTCCCCTTGACAAACCTCCAACACTGTTGCATTGGTGCCTGAAACATACAAACTACACCCTGTGCTTCCTGCCCAGTCTTCCCCGAATTCTGTAAGGCTCTGCTGTTACCACTGTGTTTATTCGTGTGTTAGTGTCTTCTAGTCTGTGTCTTTATTCGTGTGTTAGTGTCTTCTAGTCTGTGTCTTTATTCGTGTGTTAGTGTCTTCTAGTCTGTGTCTTTATTCGTGTGTTAGTGTCTTCTAGTCTGTGTCTGGGGTTCTCACTGGGTCACGTCCCAAGATGAACTCTTTGGAGCTTTTAAACCCTGAGCTGTGTGATAGCAGATGATCTCCTCGGCGCTGGTCCCCTTTGCTTCTTGTTTCCTCTGGCTGTGAAGCAGTTCGACACCTGACCTCAAACCAGCATGGGGGAAGACCTGAAGAGAAGCTCACACTTCCTTCTCCACCTTAAGTCGCACACTTCCGCATCCAGGAGGCCTGCCGTAGCAGCTTTTCATTTCCGGTGTCCGACGGCTTGATTTCCGTCCTCCCCCCTCTTTTTAAAAATTTAAGATTAAAATAAAATTATATCATTTTCTCTTGGCATCTCTCCCATGTCCACACCCTTACTCTCTCTCCTTTCCTTAATTCTTGATATAGATAGGTAGACACATGCATACACACATATATATATATTCCTAAAATATAAACAAAAGAATTATCGCTAAATATACATATAATAAATAAACTATATCCTTAAATACTTATAAACTATATAAACTGTAACTATATATACATGTGTACAGAAGGTTACTTGCACACATATGACTTCAGAGCTGACCACTCAGTACTGGATTTCCAATTGGGAGACTCTTCCCAGGGAAGACTATTCCTCCCACTCTGAGCATTTTTGCACCTAAGGCTTAGGGAGCATGGAGGAAGAGGGAATGGAAAAGGTTACAAAGAGCCAGAGGTTGTGTTTCCTAGAAATATCCGGAAGGTTACCCTCATGAAGTCTCACCAACATGGCTACCAAAACAGGAATGACACCAATGACATGGAATAGGGACATCTCATGGGCTCCAACCCTAGACAAAGAACGACAGGCAACATCCTATTTTTGTTTTTTAACCTCCCCCACACTGTTTTCAAGGCAGGGTTTCTCTGTGTAACCCTGGCAGTCCTGTAACTCACTCTGTAGACCAGGCTGGCCTCAAATTTAGAGATCTAACTGCCTCTGCTGCCAGTGCTGGGATAAGGGCGTGTGCCACCACCGCCCTACCCTGGCTGGTTTTTTGTTTTTTTGTTTTTTTGTTTTTGTGTTTTTTTTGAGACAGGGTTTCTCTGTATTGTTTTGTAGGTTGTCCTGGAACTCGCTCTGTAGACCAGGCTGGCCTCGAACTCACAGAGATCTGCCTGCCTCTGCCTCCCAAGTGCTGGGATTAAAGGCATGCGCTACCAACGCCCAGCCCCTGGCTGTTTTTTAAACTCTTTTATTCCATACTTCTTTCTGTTTTCCTGCCTTTCTTCCCCCATCCTCTTACATTTATAGTCAGTCTAAAATGGGGGAAGAAAGGCAGTCTAAAAATTGGCTGCCCGTTTGAGTCCCTCCCTGTCCCTGGTTGAAAGCTCTCTCTTGATTTCTGATCACAGCTGTAGAGTCACGAACACTAGCAGGAAACACAAGTTTTCTGTCCAGTTCTCCCAAGGCCAAGAGCAGGTTCAGGGGATCCCAGCAATAAGGAATTAATGAGTAACGTGCTCGATCTCGTATCTCTATCTCAGCATTCTTGCAGTAATCGAAACCTCACCACAAGTGCACACCCATCATGCTGCCACATCCAGAAGCCGCTCCCTGTGGCTGGCTACGGGGCTGAGTCTCGCTTCCTCTTCCTGGTTAGCTCTGTGTAAGACCCCAGTACTACCAGTCTGGTTCTGCGGCTCTTTGGCTGCGCTTATGTTGTATCATTGTTATTTTAGCTCTAGCAACACTGTTTAGAATCTGGAGAAAGACAGAACTCACGTTAAAACTTTCTACCTCAACGGGCTGAGAAGAGAGATAGCTCGGCGGTGAAGGGTGCTTGCTGCTCTTGCAGGGGCCGCCAGTTTGGACCCCAGCATCCTCATCAGGAATGTTCTATTTGGGCATGGAGCCTGTGTGGGGTAATCAAGCCAGTCGTTCTCCAGCATTCCCCTTACTGAAGAACAGCAAGTGTCATTTGCCACCCTTCCCCCAACAAGAGGCTGCCTCCTCAGCACTCCCCACTGTGGTCAAGCTCGGCCTACTGAGGTTTAAGCCTACTTCAGGGCCTGATGGCACCAGCCTTTAATCCCCAGCACTTGGGAAGCCAACGACGAAGGCAGAGGCAGATCTCTCTGAGTTTGAGACCAGAAGGACAGTCTAAGAGTGAGTTCCAGGACAGCCAGGGGTACAAAGAGAGACCCTGTCTGAGAAAGAGAGAGAGAGAGAGAGAGAGAGAGAGAGAGAGAGAGAGAGAGAGAGAGAGAGAGAGAGAGAGAGAGAAGAAAGAACAAAAGAAATTTAAACTGGCAGTTCACATTCTTTGGTATCATGGGTCTATTTCAGGAAACATTGACCAGTTTGGTCATATAAACATCCATATATATGTATCTCTATAGCCACTATGTATAGATATATAATACGAGAGCATCTGTGTCCTTCTAGTTTTTGCTCCATGAAGAGTCTGATTCCATATTCAGATCCCACTGGCCAAATACAGTTTAGAGCTAACGCGCCTTGCATTCTTCTGCCATCTGATTGGTCTCCGGACAACACACACGGGGTCCTCACACCTTCCGATCTCTTGTCCTTTTAGCCTATAACTGCTTGCTTAGGACCAGCGACTTGGTTTGCTGTCATCTGCATCCATTAGAAACTCTGAATCTCCTCCATGGGGAGCCCAATGCCTGTGAAGTATGTGCCGGGAAAGGCAGCTGCCAAGGAGTCACAGCCCCACACTTGACCTCGAGTTGTGGTTCGTTTGCTTTAATTGGAAGTGTCTGGAAGAGAAGAGGTGTCTAAGAGACACCGCACTGTATGAGTGACACAGGGTGCACATGCCAGCATCTCAAACTGCCAAGCAACCAAGCTTTGCAGGCCTTTCCTCCCCGACTCCCCCCTCACCCACTCCTCTTCTGTACCCCCATTCTTTCAATACAATCACATAACCGTGTACGCCACTTCTCAAGCCCAGCCCAGACTTACCCAGCACGCTCTCAATATCCGTGGCTCTGCGTTCTCTTCCCGCTTCCTTCACAGCTGTAGGAATGATGGTCACAGTCCAAATCACTGCCTCAGAGCTCCCAGCAGACTGGAGCCCTTACCCTGGCAGGTACTCACCGACTACCCTCAGCCAGGACCAAGGTTTCCCGGCCCATGACATTTCTCAACTCTACTGCTGCCCCAAAATCACTGAGATATTTTGCATATACCTAGGTCTGAGTGCCGCCCAGAGCGCCTCTGATTCACGAGGGCTGCTCTTTTTATTATTCCTCAGCTGACCCTAAAAATGTGGCTACAGCAGCAGTGTGAATCCCCCTCTGGTGTCTGGGGCTCTGTTAGCGTGGGTCTTAGCACCTTCTTCTTGAATTTACGTCCTGACATAAACACGCATCCTCGGGGGACATTTCCAAGTAGGTCAATCCCTTTTCTTATATTCTTCCACTGTTTCCCACTGTTCATGGATATGTTCTAGAAGTCTCAGCCTGACCTCACCCTTACCTATGTCACCTTTAGATTCTCCTTTGGGTCTCTGCTTTTACGTCACCTGAGGTCCCTTCCTTTTACCCAGGGGATTAGGGACTCCCAACCTCAGGTTTCCCTGATGCTCGTCACTCAGCACTGGGCTAAAAAGTCCCTCCTGTAACCTCAGATCACCTGGATAAGTAGATCTCATTCCCATTCACCTGTATTCATAAGTTTACTTATTTTTATAGCATTTTATGCCACCTGAAGTTACCTTGTGTTCTGATGTGTTGTCGTTGTGCACATTTGATTTCCATACCTTCCTCGTCTCAGAACATAAGCCACGAAAGAACAATTTTGTTTTTCTCTTCCTGGTATCCCCAGCACCTAGTGCTCATTTAGGATTAAAAGAATGAAGTATCCTTCTGGAAAAGACCAGAAAATATCAAATTCTACCACAAGGGGGCAGCCTTGCACAGTCAATGGAGAGAGCCTCTGGGGCATCAGGACTGATGGTGACATTATCAGCTGTAAGGAACTTACCGCCTTGAATCTTTTCTGTACCTGTCTAAAGCATCTACAATGAGGGCCCGTTACCATGACACTGGCATGGAAGTGAAGACTGTAATTATTTCCTGTCCAGCTTCAGTTGTTTTCATAACGAGCACATCAATGTTCTTTTCAAGTACTGGACATTATTTAAAAACTGCAAAGTAATTTAAATAGACTCTGAATGTTACAGAAATAGTGTTTGCAAGGCTTTTAAGGATGAAGGTAGAGACCAATATTGTGAGGGGTAGACAGCAAAGGGTAGGAAAAAGTTAGGACCTTCCAACGTCTATGTATTTATTGATCAGACAGTCTTTAATCATAACCAATTGACATTGTACAGTCTAGATTTTAATAGATGTCCCCCATGTGTTTGGGAAGAGAAATAAATACTTGGAACATTCACGTGCTAACTGTTCAAATTTAATTGTTTGCTCAGAGCCGGGCTGTGGTGGCGCATACCTTTAATCCCAGCACTTGGGAGGCAGAGGCAGGCGGATCTCTGTGAGTTGGAGGCCAGGATGGACCGACCACCTCCAAAACAATACAGAGAAACCCTGTCTCATAAAACCATAAAAAATAATTGTTTGCTCAGTTCAAAATTAAGACAGCAATGAGCTGAGGCCTGGTAGGTCAGTGGTCCAGAGAGAGCTTGCCTAACCTGCAGGGGGTCCTAGGTTCCACCCCAGCATTGTAAAAAGAACACACACACACACACACACACACACACACACACACACACACACACACACACACACACGAAAACATAGAGGCTAGATAGATGATAGACAGATGGGAGACACAGAGACAGACAGACAGACAGGCAGGCAGGCAGGCAGGCAGGCAGGCAGGGCAGTGGTAGTGTGGAAGACACAAAGTGAATAGTTTGAGAAAGAAATTCTAAGTTTGAGTGCAGCTGGAGGGGTCAGGAGTTTGACCCTAGAGTATCTAGTTTGGTGCCCAGTGCCAGGTGCATGCAGACTTTATTTTCTGTGTTTAACACTAACTGCTCCATGCACAGCTATAGGGAGGGAATGATGATAATAACCAGCTTCTGTAGACGGAAAGATTAAATGAGAGGATGAATTCAAACAGGCTTTCTAGTTCATAAAACTCAGTGATAGAATGTGTGTTTTACTAAAGGCTAATTATATGGCCAACAACAAGACAGCCTGAGGCAGAAATGGAGTTGAATGTTCTCTGGAAACCTAGAGAGGTTTCCCAGAGGGGAGAGGAACGGCTGACCTTGCAAATCACCCATCTCCAGCACCAGTCAACACGAACCCAGCAGACACATTAGATGGCTGAAGCCAGCCTTGGTTTTTTTTTTTTTTTTTTTTTAGAGGTCCAGATGTTTTTATCTGGGAGCAAATTCATGCCCCAGATACATGCCCCTCTCTGAGAGGTCCTTTTTGAATGACCAACAGCTGCTTCGTAGCCAGTTGGATTTGATCCTGTTTCCACCAGGACCTCTTCTAGCCCCACCCGGAACATATTAGCATTCTCAGAAGGGAGATTCTCGGTCCATTCAGAACCACATCATTGCTACTATGACTATTGTAGTTATGACTATGACAGTCATTGGATGAAAAATAATCCGAACCGATGCAAGCGGAAGATGCAGGCGCCCTGAATCAGAGCAAAGGTCAAGGGCTCACGGAGAGAAGCTTCGGACCCCTGTACCAGGCTCCCTCCAAGTGTGTGGGCGCTGTGTGTACGTGCGGAATGGGGGACGGGGTAATTACACTGTTGTTGGAGGACATTCTTTCCATCTCCTTTCTACTCACACCTGTCCATTGTCCGTCCTTAATGTCTCTAGTACCCCACATCCCCTCTCTATCCCATCAGGGTGTACCCTGGATTGGACCATTTTACCTAGATTGTCACAACACCCTCCTCACTCACTGGTGACCTTACCCAGGCCATCTAGGGCATCCCTGCAAAATTCATCCCATTCTCCAAGCTTTCCATCTCCTGGAGAATATATGCTGGTGTCTTCCTTGTGGCTTGAAAACCTTCTTGGAGCCAGGTGGTGGCACATGCCTTGGGAGGCAGAGGCAGGTGGATCTCTGTGAATTCAAGGCCAGCCTGGTTTACCAAGTGAGTTCCAGTACAGCCAGGACTACACACAGAGAAAACGAAACAAAAACCAAAAACAAACAAACAAACAAGAAAACCTTCTTGGTAGTTTTGTTTTTTGTTTCTAATCAACTTGCCACAAGATGGCGTCATCAGGGAAGAGGAAGCCCCGTCAGATGGCCCATAGGCAAGTCTGTAGGGCATTTTCCTGATTAAAGCTGGATGTGAGAGGGCCCAGCCTGTTGGAGCAATGACGCAGGTGGTCCTGGATGAGGGATAAAGGAAGGGAATGAGATAGGATGAGGATAAGAAATCGAGCTGAGCAAACACAGAAGCAAGCTCGTAAGCAGTGTTTCTCCGTGGCCTCTGCTTCAGTTCCTCCTGAGGTTCCTGCCTTGTCTTCCCTTTGTCATCCATGAAGGGAAGCTGTAAGCTGAAACAAACCCTTCCCTCCCCGGGTTGTTTTGGCCATTGCGTTTTATCACAGCAGTAGAAAGGAAACTAGAATAGCTGGTTCTATGCTCTGAATGTCTTTGCCGCCACCTCCACCTCTGCAGCCTTGGATTCATATGCTGAAATCCTAACCCCTAAGATGATGGTATTTCAGGGTGGGGACTTTGGGAGGTCATTAGGTGCTGGAGGTGGTGCTGCCATAAACAGGATAAAGAGGCACTAAAGAGACCTTCACCCCTTCCACAAGGTGAGGACACAGTAAGAAGGAGCCAGAAAGAGACTCATCAGATGGTCTGGGTTCCTAACCTCTAGAACTATGAGAAATAAACTTGTTAATTATGAGCTGCCTCGGCTGTAGTTATTTTGTAATAGAGACTAAGACATGTACCTATTGCTACATGTAAAAGAGCCCAGAGATAGGCAGACTCACCTGGTGCACACAGAATTCCCACCTCAGGCCTGCAGTCAGGCTGTTCTCATGGCCTGATTACTTGGGAGTGCTTCACCGTCCTCCGTCTGCCTTTCAAAGTCTCTCTAAACATGTCCCATATTAGAATTATTTTCTCCTTCACTTCTCTAAGTATTGACACTTGGAGTCCAGTCCCTTGGCTTGGGGCAGCTAAGTCCACACTGGTAGCTCACTGATCTGCAATCCCTAGTGTCATCTGGACCTAGGTCACCATCGCCTCTAATATTATGTGCCAGCAAGTGGTCAGAGCTGAATACTTGCCTGGTGAGTTGGAACTATATTTCTTAACTTCCATTTGACTTGGCCTTGAAATGGCCTGTGAGGGCTGGTTCTTTGTTGTGATCACTGTGGCAGTTCACATGTACAAAGAGGCCAAACAATGTGGTCTGGGCCAGGCACCCAGAAGTGTGCACAGGACCCAGTCCAACCCAAGAAAAGCAAGAGTAGACCCACCCAGGATGTCATAGTCTATGCAACATAGTGAGAATCTGAACCTTGTATCTAGATCCTGGTTTCATTATTCCCATCTGTTCAATCCTGGGGGGCGTGTCTTCACTTCTCTGGGTGTCAGTTTCTTCAGTGATAATAGCTCCCTGGCAGAATTGAAAAGTGTAGAGCAGATAGCATGAAATTACAGTGTTGAATCAGGAACATACTAATACTGAAGACAGCTCTGCAAAGCAAACACCTCACTAAGAATACTGAAAACACTGGCTGCAAATTTTCCTTTTGTGCCTGGGAATAGTGGCAAGGTGTCCAAAGTACCATCCCAGGAATGGGGAGGAGAAGGAGAAGCTGGAAAAACATCCCCTGGTTCTCTGAGTACATTCCCAAGATACCAAGCCAGCCACCAGCATTTCCCAAGCATCAAGTTTTCCTCCCCCATGCCCTGGGAAACTGCACAGATAGAGCTCATTCCACAAGCCACACTCAGAAACAGTCTTGACCGCCACGTGCTATTTGATACCCAAAGAGCCAGGTATCAGCCATGTTGGAAGTGGTACTCCAGACATCTATGTAGACATAAGAAAGATGCAAGCAATTTTCCTAGAAAAAAACATCCCGAGTCGATGCCTGGAAGAGATGCCTCCATACTTATCTGATATTCAGAGAAATATCAACTAGAGGGGAATCCAGCCATGCATATGGAAGGCAGAACACATAAAGGGAAAAAGAGAAAGCTCGGTGGTCATTGAGAATCAGGATAGATCTGTTTCCCCAACAGCGATGCCACGGGCTGAAGAGTTCAGGTCTGGAGTCTGAATACTGGGTCCAAATGTCTACCTAAATGTATGGCTTTAGGAAGATTATACATTTCCCAGTAATTCTTCCTGTATAAATTAAGAGTGCTGCAGGCTTCTGTGTCCTAGAAGGACTGTGAGGATCGCATGAGGTACTTCACATGAAATGGCTGACAGCATTGTGCATGGCAGGCATCCCTTTGGGTAAGAGAAGCTGAAGTGACCATGGCATTGATAGTGGCGGTTTGATCCTGACCTGGGCTAGATGAACATTCGTATTCCCGCTTCATGCTGAACAAAGTCAGATTGAATGTTACAAAGGCAGCTCAAGGCAGACATAACTAAAGAACTGCTGCTTCCTGCTGGAATTTAATGAGAAACCCCCATGCCCTAAGGAGGAGGGGTTGGAACCAGAATAGACCATCTTCACGAGGGACAAGAAAGACCCAAATCAAAACCAAGCTGAGCCTAACAGCTAACTCAGACATTAAAACATTCTGCATCATTACCTAGGACTAGGTAAGAGCATGTCTTTGAAAAATCTTTCCTTGGTTTTCTGAAATTGCCAGCCCACTCCTCCCTGCTCCCAGTATTTATCTACAGCTTGGATCATTTAACCTATGAAAAACAGTACAAGGAGTCTCCCAGAAGCAGCCCTGAGATGGAGAGTTTCAGTAACAAAGGCAGGGAAAGTACAATCTCATCTGAAGGCTATTTCCAGAGGGCTGGAGAACAAACCCACCTACGCAGGGTGGAAGGGGCTCCTCCCAGGACAGCGGTTCTCAGCCTTCCTAATGCTGTGACCCTTCAATGCAGTTCCCCACGTTCTGGTGACCCCTAGCCATACAATTATTTTCATTGCTACTTCATAACTGTAACTTTGCTAGTGTCACGAATTGTAATGTGAACATCTGTGTCTTCTGATGGTCTTTGCCCACAGGGTGAGAACTGATGCCCCATGGGCTGTTTTTCTCCTCCTGGTGAAACCTGATCAATAGCAACATTTATTGACCAACTTATTCAGGGGCCAAAGGTCAAGAACTGACGCTGGCGCCAGGACCCGAAAGACCCACAGGCTATTGGGAGCTGAGACACTCAGCACCCTTTGCTCAGTGTTGCAATGGCTGTGAGCTCACCTTCCAGCGCCTATGGGCTAGCGTGGCTGGTGCTCCATGGATACCTGTTGAATTAAGAAGTAGAAGTCTCTATCAGCCGTATGGGGCAGCCATTTCCAACCTCAGGACACATTCTTGTCCACTCACCCGAACACCTAACACTCCTCAGGAATATCTTGATAACACACAACAACATGGTCCCTTGATGCCTCTAGTTTTCTCTCTAGTCGATACTGAGAGCAGTCCGCTCACTCATGGTGTCCCTTTCTCTACCTTGAGATTCCCTGGCAGTCTGCCTAACGGTGCTCTGATAGCCTGTCTCTAGCCCATCAGAGCACCCACCGAGACACTTTTAGGAGTAATAGCTTTGGGCGGGGAAGTTCTGAGCTCTAAGCCCAGTTCAGTTCCGTGTTGTCCACTGGCCCCTCCCTGGCAAGCCGCAAAGTTACTCCTGTCATGTAGTTTCCGTGTTTGTTCTTCAGAGGGCGGTAAAGCAGACTAAACAAAGCAGGAATAAGTTAAACAAGGCTACGAAAGGACTTCGGGCGCACCAAGTGCCAGAAAACAATCATGACAAGAGATAAAGTAGAAAATCTTAGGCTAAGCAGGTAACACAGAGCCTGGGTTCAGTTAGCACTGTACCTAGGACTATTGTTTCTAACCAACTTCCGTCTCCCGGTGACACCGGTCTAACACCCTCACTCCAGGAACAATCCTTTTCTGACCATCTCCCCTTCAGCTACCTGATGACAACCAGTTGTCGCTCTGTCTTCAGCAGGCTCTCTGGCTTCCCTGGGCTTCTCAGGCAGATACGCTAGGCTTGGGTCTGGTCTAGCCGGGATCTTGCTGTTACAGCTCCCTTGACTGGATTCCGTGGCATCCGCTGTCCCTGCCTCTTAAGGGTCCATGCCGTCTGTAGCAAAACTCCTGGTCATACAGAATGCCTCCTCCGGCCTGTGATCCTTGGTTCAGCAGCTGGGCAGGGTTTTACTCTTGTCATATCCACATTCCAAAACTTCTCCAATCCTCTGGAGTTTAAGTCCTACCCTCAACTTCCTTTCTGGCTCATGACTTTGCCTCTTTGCTGACCAGTCAGGCCCCCTGCCTTCAGTAAAGCTCTATATGCCGACAGAGAGAGCTAACCCATGGCGTGGCCTGTCTTCAGGGCGATGTGGAGAGAGGTGCAGTGAGAAGCAGGGCTTTGATAGCACAAGGATGGGAAGTGTGTCTGAGCTTGACCCGTGACTCACTGGCCACAGAACCTAGAGGGAAAAGGCAAATTGTAGTAACTCAGTAAGCATCCAATTACTCATGCCCAGAGTTGGTGCATAATAAATATTCCTTTATTGTTTTCAAAACCCTCCCAGGAATGCTGGTATTAAGTATCATGTTGCCGTTTCTCTGTCTTATTATATGTCCCCCCTTTATGTTTACACAGGACCTGAAAAAGAAAACCTCACTAACTCACCCTAACCAGTTGGACATGCCCCTGACTATGCTGTTTCTCGTCTTGGTGGGAGAAAGATACAGAGCTTGCTCAGTCAGGAAGTCCTGATCTAAGGAAGGAAGCATTGTGGGTTGGTGAGTGGGCTGGGTTTTGGCCTTTGGCAATCCTGTGTCTTCAGAGAAGACAGCTTTTGAAGCTGCATGTCAGAAAGGACACTTGCGCTGACCCCTGTGGTGAGGGGCACTGGTTCATGGGCATCCTCAGACACTGGGTGGAAAGCTGGCAGCAGAACTCTTCCGTGTGGGAGACAACACAGGAGTGAGCAGATAGAGTGTAGGGGCAGGGGAGAGGAACATGGGAACTGACTTCATACATGGAATCTCTAGCTGTTCATCTGTGTAACACAGAACATGAGCCTCTGCCTACGTGGCCTCTGTATGGAATTTGAAAGCCAGTGTAGATTGTTAGTTTTCCAATAAGTACTTGGAGGTCTGTTAAAATGTGTGTGTTGGGTGGTTTTTTTGTGTCAACTTGACAAAAACTAGAGTCATCAGAAGAAGGAGACTCGGCTGAGGAAATGCCCCCTTGAGATCCAGCTGTCAGGCGTTTTCTTCATTAGTGATCAATGGGGAAGGGCCCAGCCCATGGTAGGTGGTGTTATCTCCGGTTGTTCCAGGTTCTATAAGAAGGTGGGCCAAGCAAGTTATGGGAAGCAAGCTAGTAAACTCTTCTGTGGTCTCTGCATTAACTCCTGCCTCCAGGTTCCTGCCCTGTTTGGGTTCCCGTCATGACTTCCTTCAGTGATGAATAGCAATGCTGAAGTGTAAGTCAAATAAATCCTTTTTCCCCCAACTTGCTGTTTGGTCATGGTGTTTCATCACAGCAACAGAAATCCTAACTAAGACAAATTGGTACCAGGAGTGGGGTATTGCTCTGACAGACCTGACCATATTTTTTGGGAGGATTATGGAAGGACTTTGGAACTTTGGGCTAGAAAAGCCATTGAGTGTTGAGACCTCAGTGAAATGTTTTGTGGAAGACAAGAATGTTAAGAACAGTGCAGAAGATGAAGGCCTGGCTTGTGAAGTTTCAGAGTGAAGTCTAAAAGACTATCAGGGCCTTTTTTTTTGTTTGTTTTGTTTTGTTTTTTTGTTTTTTTCCAGACAGGGTTTCTCTTTTGTTTTGGAGGCTGTCCTGGAACTCACTCTGTAGACCAGGCTGGCCTTGAACTCACAGAGATCCACCTGCCTCTGCCTCCTGAGTGCTGGGACTAAATGTGTGCACCACCAACGCCCGGTCCATTTGTTATTTTGAATTAAGATCCTGTGGTTCTGGTTAGCTGGGGCTGAAGAATCAGCTGTGATTAACATGATGCTATAATAACTGAAGTGAAACATTTGTGTCACTGGGACAACTGATGCTGGTCAGCTGACACTGACAAATTAGCAGTGATTAGGAAGAGACCAGCATCACTGAGGTAAAGTCTCCTGGGGGGTGTTTCCTGAGTCAGCACACGGAAGCTGTGTTCCAGAGACGGCCAAGGTTGTACCTCGTGCTGGCAGCTGAACTTGGTAATGTGTAAGAATCACCCAGGTGGTCCTGGTTTTGAAGGCATGAAGGGGTCATGGACAGCAGCTGAAGCTTGGTACAGTGAGAGCCAGGAGAGGCCGTTGGTGAAGTTGCAGCCTCAGTGGCAGTTGAAGGCCCAGGACTGAAGGGGGCATGCAAAGAAGGTTTGTCACCATGAGGAGAGCCTAGGAGAGGCTATTGATGAAAGTGCAGCCCAGCTGCAGCAGAAGACCCCGGCATTTTGTAGATGCCAGTGACATGGGTGACCACCAAGAACAGTAGCAGCAGTGCTCTGGAGCCAGCTGGAGCTTAGAAGACAAGCCATGTGCGCTGCAGAGGGCGGAGCTGGGGAAGTGACCCTCCTCTGGAGGAGCCCAGGAGATCATGAGTGGATCCCAGACATTGGATGGTTGGGATTTTGTTTTGCTTTGCTTTGACTGGATGTGCCCCATTCTTCCCTCTTGAAGTGCAGTTGAGAAACTTGAACTTTAAAAAGACTTCTGATTTTTTTAAAGAGTGACTATTTTAAAGGAACTGAAATTTTAATGTGTTTGATTTGTAAAGATTGTGGTGCTTTTAACACCATTTAAGATCGTGGGGGATGAATAAGAAAGGAAGGGCTGCGGCTTAATTGTGATGTGTTTGTGTGTCAAGCTGACAAGGGTTCAGTTGTACTAGGTAGTTTTGTGTGTTGACTTGACACAAGCTGGAGTCATCAGAGGAAGGAGCCTCTGCTAAGGAAATGCCTCCTTGAGATGCAGCTGTAAGGAGTTTTCTTAATTAGTGATCAATGGGGGAGGTGTGCTATTCCTGGGCTGATGGTCCTAGGTTCTATAAGAAGGTGGGTTGAGAAAGCCACACATAGTAAGTCAATAAACAGCTCCCCTCCATGGCCTCTGCATCAGCTCCTGCCTGCAGTTCCTGCTCTGTTTGAGTTCCTGTCCTGACTTCCTTCCGTGATGAATAACAATGCTAAGTGTAAGCCAAATAAACCCTTTCCTCCCCAAATTGCTGTGTGGTCATGGTGTTTCGTCACAGCAATAGAATCCCTGACTAAGACAGTATGGATGACAGAACCCACCTCCAGATCTTCACCTTCATGGGGAGGGGGGAACGGGACAATGGACAGTCTGAGACAATCTAACAAGCTCCCATATGAGGCAAACACTGGGGCCCCAGAGGTTGTATTAGGAGAACCACTGACCTGATGACTACTTTCTTCCAGGTCTGAGATTTTAGGAATCTGCTTCTAAGAAACAGCATAAAATTAAAAGAGGAAACTGAGGAATGACATCAAATTCTAGAATTAGCTAGAGAAGTTTCCAAACACTTCCCCTTACCTGTGACAAAAAGCAGGTGCCTCAGTCATTGCCCAGGCCCCGTAGCAATGGGGCTGGCCTTAGTCTAATGGGCTGTTCTCATCTCCATCTGCTCACAGAGCTTCTTTTCATTTGGTTTTCATGGATCCTACACCCAAGACTATATTTTATGACAGCAGCTGCTTGAGTCTGTAATGAAATACTTTATGAGGAAACACATTGAATCCGCGAAGTGCGAGGCAGGAGGTTTATTCTCAACGTATGTTTGTATTTTCTGCCTTACCTCCTTCAGAAAAAGCAAATGATGACTGCAATAAAAGACAGCTATGGCTGACGGTAGACCGTTGAGGAGGCAGGAATGAAACTGGCTTGAATTAAGTAAGAGATTCATTATCCCTCATGGTAAGCAAACTCTGAATGAGTGTGGAAGGGAAACCAGAATGGCTGCAGACAAGAATACCCTGCGGATTCTGCTCTGCCTGGGGCGTAGGCTGGCAGGAACACTGCAGGGTACCATGGGACATGTTTTCAGAAGTCTGTGGACTCACATGACTACCTGCAGCCCTGAACTCTAGCTAGCTAAGAGCTCTTAGGACCTCAGGTCAGAATGCTTTGTGGCCAGATCCCAGAGTGAGGGTTCAGGCTGCCTGGTGCTTGCTCAGCATCTTTTCCAACATCTGGAACACACAGACTTGGATACAACTCTTTATGGGAATTCTTATGTCTATGCAGGTTCAGTCACTTTATCTAAATGTTTACCTCTGGAGGACCTTGTCTGGGACTTGACAGCACCTGGACATACTCCTACATCTGTGAATGACCAAGGAGTGGCTGTTTCAGGGAGGCATAAGAAGGGGCCAGGATGTCACCAATTCAGCCAGAAGCAACACTGTAAAACGTTGGGTGAGAGCTGAGGCAAGAGGCTTTTGACTTTGCCATATGACCAGCCAAAGCTCTGGCCCGCCTATGCAACTGGTGCAAGCGTCCGCTTTACAAAGGCATTATAGTCTGTTTGTACAGGGAAAGAGGCTAACGAGGCAAAGAAAACTAGGGTTCTGGCAGTCTGCAGACTAACCTCTAGGACTGGCGAGAGCACTGTGCCAGCCACACGGGTGCATTGTCTGCAGGTCTTGGAGACCCCCACCTGTTGGTGAATTATCACACAAGAGCCCTTCTCAAGGGATCAGCAGAGTTGTTTCAAGCCGAGGTCCCAGTTACTCTTGAGAACTTCTGTAAGTGGCTGGCTGGCCAACGTGGCGCCAGGCAGCCCAGGTCTCAATAGCCTCTGACCTTCCCATGACCTCTGGGGACATGTTGGGCAAAAAGCTTGAGCCCACTGCTCGATGTGATATAGAAATCTATCTGAGGCAGCAAGGGTTTGTTTTCAGGGAACAAACCCAAGCGTAGAATTATTGTCAACCAGACAAGTGTAAACTTTTGGATTTAAACTCTGGAAAACCAGTCAAATAGCACCCAATGGAGAGACGTCAGTCAAAGTGCGGAGACCTTGGCATGCTCACCACACAGCCGTGCCACAGATTTAGATGAGCCATTTAGCTGCTAAAACAAAACCAGAAAATTAATGATGCTGAGAGTCACTCTCTACCATTAGAATTGACCCAGTCTGTTCAGAGAAGCAGTCGGGATGTGGCGGAGGTTTCCTTGCATTGAGGTTATCTTTCATGATATTTACAATACTGAAGAATTAGAACCAGTCTAAATACCCCACATGGAGGACATGCTGTGCATATGACCCATCTCTACCACAGAAACTTTGCCATCTATTAAAGATGTGTCTCCAGAGATAATGTAATGATAGCAGAGATGTTCACAACCTCAGTGGAAAGAACAAACTGCCTGCAAAATCTATAACCACAT